ATGGTACTAGCTCGCACGATCCCATGTGAACTAGACGCGAGGAAAAGGTCACAGGAATAGTAGTACGTAGTCAGTTTATTTGGAGGAAATGAAGGTGATAAAATAATATGTAGAAAAGAAGACTGTTGGTTATCTAGGCTTCCACCAATCGGATTGCAATACTGTTTGCATAACTCTGCTTCTGTCAGCACTGCCTCGGATAGGCTGGCACGATGCACCAATGACGTGTAGTCAGAAGCCATGCGTGTGTCATTGACGTCATCTTTCAAATTTGGTTGATCGCAAATGTCCAGAAATTGTAACGCGCCGCTCCAGGGTAGGCGTCATCACGTAGGCTTGGATCACTACAGGTCTACCCTGAAACTAACAATCCCGCGGTCGAAGGTCGACAAGACTACTTTCGCCTGTCGCGGGATGTTTTTGACAAAGTCACTGTCGTTACGTCGACTGGTTGGTCTCATTTTATTCACACCACCAATTTCATCAACCTCCATATCCACTTAGCGGATGGCTTCCTGCACACTATGCCATCTGTGCTGTAAAATGTTTTCTTCGGCATTCATTGGGTTAATATGGATCGCGTCGAGAGCGTCCTGGGTATTCCTTTGAATAGAACCGATCACAGCTGTTGGACATGTCTTTTAGTCAGCTTCACTAAGGCGGAAGACTGACACTTGAATCTACATATATTCAATTTATCTTTCTCCCTCTCTCTAGATCCTATTATCATCGGGCTACCTCTAACAAATAAGCTTTGGTGATGAGCATAGGCAACTAACCCCAATCACTGCATACAAGCTTGCGGTTCTCGGTTAATTGTGTTCATTATTTGCAATAGGTATCTGCGCTGGTTCTGCTGTATATAATTTGGCTAACCAGCTGCTCAAGCCTGTGGTGAACGCAGCTCATAAATACACGAAGACATGCATATTCTTGCACCACTTGCAATAGAAAATCTGTCTACGAGAAGTTGAGCATGTACCCTAGTGATGTGACGTTTACTCAAGGTTGTTTGTTACAAAACATGAAAGCGTGACAGGCCAAAAGTGCAAGTGACTTCAACGAGATCACGTACACGACAAATGGTCAATAACTTGTGCAAATGGCTCAGTGAATCAAGTCGGTAAATGTTTATAAACCATTCCACTCGGTTTCTCACGGATACCAGGCGCTGTTGTTTATGTTAGGCGTGAGTTTCACTCCTTGAGAGATAGTTAAGTCCGCCACCTTTAAATGCCGTATAGCTTAGGGATAATGGGGTTGACTCCGAACCCGAAGGTTCACGTTTTGACACTGACAAGGACTCGAGATTTACGTACTGCTGACGAGTACCAAAGCAGCGAGGTGGTGTGTGTGTGTGTGTGTGTGTGCGTGTGTGTGTGTGTGTGTGTGTGTGGAAACTGCATTGCATTCAGAGCCGGTGTTCAGTTCATCGGATTATACGGCCTTTGGACGAAGCCAAACGTCCAAGGTGCCCGCAACCCCTGGTTGCCTAGTCTAGTGAATGACCACTACCACAGACAATGTGTGTGTGCTTCCTACACCTCTCCTTGATTGGTTTGAGATCAAGGTTGTTAACCAACTCCGTAAGGTGAAGTACCAGTGGTTCACCAACCCGGTTATAACCCCGGATGTTGGCTTTTTGTCCCCTCAATTTGGTGGGAAAACAGCCACGGGAAGGCAGTAAGTAGGTGTGGTGATCCTAGCCTACCGGATGACGCCAGTCACGAAGAGACGCTTTACAGTTTCTGAACTACTGTGATGAGTCAAACCTCGATGATGACGCCAGCCTAGAGCCTATGCGCCACAATTTCTGGACAAAGAACCGCAGGCCAATCGTACCGAAGTGGTGCGGTCCAGACAAAAGCTGTACGACATCAAAAATACGAGCACGCAGTTGGTGGATATCTGAATAACCAATAAAATTCTTTTGTACATGTTATTTAACCCCCTTGATTTCCTCCAATAAACGAACTGCTACTTCTGTGGCATTTTTCTTGCATCTCGGTAACGGGAGATATCAGCGTGAATGTGCTACTGCGACTCACCGTTTCAGTTGCGTCCGTGATTCGTAATTCGTTTTTCATTACCTGACCCCACTTCAACTACCATAGTAGGTCTTCCTTAGCAGAGGATGTTCGGGACACTTGGTTGTATAGGAGCAGTTCGCGAGGTGTGGTGTAAGGGTGGTGGTATATAGACCCTATTTTTCACACTAAAATCGACTATTTCCCCCTATTTTTTCCTATTTTTCTATTATTTTTATAAAATTGAAATTTCCGGATTTTCGCACCTGGAAAGATTCATTCCGCACCACCGGCCATTCTCGACCCTCATTGGTCCATTTTTCTGTGACTCACCACTTTCAAGCTAATTTCCAAGGTCATTGATGGCCGGTCCCCAAATTGTACATAAACGAATGAGCTGCCCGTTTTCTCCGTCTTTTTGATCGAGCCAGATATACAAACTCGCCTGAAGGCTTTCCTTCCTTCTTCTTCCTGGTCGGGTTCCGGAGATCGTACTGGTCTGTGGGTCGCTTCTCTGGTTACTGTCCGGTCGTGTCTCGTTTGGGGTACCGCAGTCGGTCATACGGAATCGCTACTCTATCGCTGGGTCGCACGGTTCTGTTCTTGGGCCTCCACTGTCACTGGCCGGGGCTCGTATAATCCGGCCGTTTCGATCAACTCAACGTTACAACATATTNCCCCCCCGTCATTGGACCACTACGCCCGAACAATGACCGAGTTCTGTCTGTTTTTTTTAAGCATCAATTGGTCGTGTGTCAGTTAATGATCTAAAGACAATTTTCTTCTGGTGCCGAATATTAAGCCCAAAAGATTCAACAGACGGATCTCGGAACTCGAAGCTTTTTGCAGTCGGCTATTTTGGAATATTATTAACCTTTCATTTGGCTCTCAAATTCATCGGATTCTATCATGCTTCGCGGTGTGACCAACACAGTAAAACGGATAGTCGTGAGGACTTTCTGTTTGGACACGGGCACTTGAAATTTCAGTTCAGGGATTTGGAATGGCAGAGCATTAGGTCAAACAACAACAATGACAGCCGCAGCGAAGATGCATCTCCCTCTCCATATCGAATGTGTATAGACTTCGATTAATTGAAATAAACTATGTACCGACAACGCCGGTTAGAAGACACACCGACCTTCTTTCCCGATCACTTGCTCCATCCGAGTTTGCCACTGTTCCGCATGCACCGAGAATCAATCATCATCGATTGCTTACGCACTCTCGACCGAAGTGGTTATTGTCATGCCTCTGCCATGATCAATCATACTACGTCCTCAAAAAGCAATATATTTTAACCGCTTTACCCCACTCTTTTGGTCTACTTTGAGAAGCGTGGTGGGTTTGTGTGTGTGCGTGTGTGGTTGCACTCACCGACGTTGAAACTCAATCATTTGGCTAATGCGCGCGAATCAGGCGTTGTATGTTCTTTTAATTCTGGTTGTCCTATTGGACAAAAGTTGGGCCCTATTTCCACTCCCTTTCCCATTTGTTGGCTTTCCTCAATGGAACCCACACATGGGACCGTCCGGTCACCCCATGTTCCATGGGCCCAGACCAATGTTTCATGGGAACCAAGAGGCGTTCGATGTGTTACACACGCATGAGCATCGTAGCGATCACGGTCCGGACGGAGAACGGATGCTAATGGAAAATAAGCGAATGATCGGTCGTGAGATGAAATATCGTCCGGGTGACCAGTACACGAAAGATACTGGGAACGGACGGTGGAAGATGTTCGGGCACGAGGTTCAAAAAGCGCATAAGGATCATTCGAAACTGTATGTGATCCCGGAACGACCATTTCGATTGCATGTTGGTGACGGTGATCATTATGGGATTCCGACCAGTCATCACACAGACTATGAAAGTTATAAACAAGGAGACTGGTTGAAAACTGGTGGTTGGCATGATGGTGATGCTGGGGATCATTATCGTGCTGCGGGTCACGGGGCTTTCCCTTATGAGAGAAACTATCGAAGAGGAAAACCCACCATGGCCTATCGGGAACCCCAAATCCGATATCACAATGCGTACGATTCCGGCGAGTGGCGACCGTTCTATGAAAAGCAAAAATACAAAAACCATATACATCGCAACCGTTCACCAACAATAGGGAAAAGGCGAGGCAAAGGCCAAAGCTATCAAAGTTA